TACTCATATTACTCACTCGAGTGCTCAGGGAATTTCATATACACGTATACTCGTACAATTTTTTCTTTAAAGATTTACTTATAGTCAGATAGACGAGTACTCAATGTAGTACTCATAATCGTTTTTCGCATAATATTTAGCAAAACACTTATGCACTAGTATCTATAAATATAAGTTGAAATTATATAATATGAAAAGAAAGTGATGCAATAAAATTTAAAATAGAAGAAAATTATTGAATGCTTTATCTACTCGATCCTATATTCTTTTTTGATGAGTCATTTATACGATTAATATTAATGGTGACTTTGAGAAAGAAAAGAAAACGATTTTTTCTTTTCATTTGTTAGCTTCTCGGGTAAAGTTAAATTCTTTTGAAACATATTAATGTAGACTTCTTTAGCTTTATTTTCTAAATTTATATAGGATATCTTTGATTAAAATAAAGTTTTTTAGATTGATTATGAAATGCGATGACACGAAGGACGAGAAACAACTTTCGTTGTCAATCAATCGCGATTTTTAAATAAGAAGATGCGTCAATACACTACAGACAAAAAGTTTTTTAGTTTGTATTGATTTATTTTTTTGGGTAAACAGTTAGCAATTTAAGAATGTATGTGTGTTTAATGTTTAGTGTGTTAAGCTATAATTTACGTTTACTTTCTATCATATTTTTAATTGTCACTAAATAATTTATTATTTTTTCTGCTTGATTGCTTTTTTTACTGTTCTCAATTCATGTTTTATTAGACTCTCATTCTTGATGATCTACACAAAGAAATCTTCGTTATTAGAGAGAATTGTTGGATATTTTGATAAAAAAGCACACAAAGTCGTGTTTTTATTGTATCAAAATACAGAAAATATTTAACTTTCTTTGCTAATGATGACAATTTCTATGGCCGTATTCTTTGTGTTAAAATGTATGAAAATGATGCCACACTTGTATTTCTTATTTTGATTATTTTTCTCAAACTTCTATTGCGTGTGCCTGTGTTTTTTGTTATAAATTTGATATTAAATAAAAATTAATGTAGTACAACGATACTAACCAAAAAATACAATTATGAGTATTTTTGTCTAGACCAGCAGAGTGCACAAAATTAGATAGTAGTACTACCGAAACACTCAATATTACACGGCTAGTACTCAGTTATCGTACTCCAATACTCAGATTCTAGTGCGAATACAACTGATGAGTACTCATGAGTACTTGCGGCATTTTCTAGCGTGAGTACGACATGAGTACTACCCTCTGAGTACTTTGACTAGGAATAGCAATTGCATTAGATTCAGAAAAGAAAAGCTTTCGTATAAGAGCTAGCCAAGGTGTCGACTGATGAGACCAACTTTTCACGAGGAACTATGCTATGTCTAATAATGATAATCTTTTCAAAACGCATATGTACATCCTCAAGCAAGATTTTTCATGCTTTTCTTTCTCAGGTAAAATGCCATATAATCCTAGCTAAATTCATTGATTAAAAGTCAGCGTTCCATCAAGAAAGTTAAAACATCTTACCAGTCATGCAGCTAGATCGTGATTTCGGATTTTTTTTGTTCTACACTTATCGGTAGTCAACCAAAGTATGACCGATACCATACAACTACAGTAAATATAAGAATCTGGTCAACACATTCATGACACAAAGATTATGCATATTTGCCGTAATGCTTCCTTCATTGTAAATGTTGCTTCACCATGAAACAGATCGGTTCGATTATGTACAAGGTTTGCTGAAATATAATTTGTGTCTTTTTCTGTTGTAAAATATTTAAACGATAAAATAAGACTAGGCGAATCTTTGCTATATATCATACATTCTACTTGAAATACAACTGCTGTTTTGTGCTAAAGGGATATGATACTATCTCGTGAGTTTGTGCATTATCTTTGACGCTTAAAAGTGATAATCGCTCGACCACGGCGTGACTGAATGTTATAGAATTGTTTTTTTTGACATTGTCATGTCTATTTTTTGTCAATCACAAGAAAACAAATCCTTGGAAACTTTTATTATAGATAGTACCTATCTAGATCTGCTATTAGTAAAAATTTCATTGATTTTTCTTCTAGCTGATCTATTTCTCAAATACCGACCGTTCGCGGAATTTCAGAAAATACGATTGTTGTTTAGTAGAGCTGAAAGTGAAACATTTTACTACGAAGTGAGGCAAGATATAATTAAACCTTCTATATAAAAGTTGTTCAGTATTTACCAAGCTTTCTGAATATTAAGTCATATCTTAACGAGCATAACTGTATCGAATAAATTTCATCAAAAATAGAGATGATTTTTGAATGCATGGTCTTGGTTCGTAAACATCAAACGTTTGTACGAAAGTCAATTGTTGAAAAAGTTCTTCGTATCCAATCCATTAATGACTTCACGGAAAATTTTTTTCCACCAATCGGTTTTTGTTTGAAGGTGTATTCCGCTGTCACAATGTACACAAACTTTCGAGTCGTCTACTCTAAAAAAGATTTCGCGTTATTAGAGCACTCAATGCTACTCACGAACAGAAGTGTTTCCATTCCAAATAATAATGACTTAAATTAACTTTGGTACGAAAAAAATATATTGTAAACAGAACTAACTAACCAAAGCTCTCAACCTGGTCTGATAGCCTGCAGAAGCCTGCCAGTTTGCCAGGCCACATAGGATCTTTTCTTGTTTGTCTAACCTGCTTCTGTCTAGAAAATTTTGTCAAATCCAAGTCTATCTGAAATTAATATTCAAATTCATTTCGAACGTTAGATATCGCTGTGCATTGCACTGCATTTCGAAGAATTTTAAAAGCATATGATTCTGGCAAAGATCAAATTCTCTCGTAAAATTAGAACTTTTCATTTTTGAGCAGCCATAAAACTTATGAATATTCTTGAGAGCTGATAATTCTCGAGTCATGATACCTTATCTTTGATTGATTGGACTAACATGTAAGAAAGTGAAAAGTTCAGTTAGTTGTTTATTATTATTTAGGCTTAGTCCGCTAAATAATGAACAAGAGAAAAACCAATAGAGAATACTAACAATATCAATCAGAGCAAAGATAAAACACAGACAGGATAAAAGCGGCAGAATAACAGGACCACTCTATCCTTGCTTAATACTCGCGGAAAAGCAAAAAGATATTGTTGAAACCGAAAAATAAGTACAAAAAATTTAACAGAAGTTGATAGAAAAAAATGTACACGTCATATTTTCCTTCATCTTGAAACAACTTCGATTAAGCATCACATTAAAGCCCTTATAAAACTTGTTCCTCATGGATTTTTAAAATCAGCTCCTCATTAAAAAATTCATCTTGCGTCAGGTTTAGTTGAATCGCCTGAAACTCTTGGGATATGTTGGCGCTTAAAATTGCAGAGGTTACGGTAAAGTTTTCGGCTCTATACCATGACACTTGAGAACAACATTAATCAAAGAAGGGTCAAACATAGCTCATGTGACAATTCAAAATTCTCTGTCAATTGTGATTCTATATATTTAGGTTTTTCTGTTGGAAAGAGCATGCCACGACGCAGATTATGACAAATTCATTTTTTCTAAAGTCGTATCTTTTTCAGAGAAGAACTGAGATGAAAAATTCATAATTGATGTTCTAATCATTAAAGTACTCTTATATATAATAATAACAAAGCTTAATTCAAAAACGACGTCTGTCATGCTCTACATCTTGGCATGATCTTTTAAACAAGAAAGAAAGCTATTGGCTACAATCAAACTGTTTCAAGAATTCTCGGATGTGCAATCAAAAGAACATAAACTGAGAAAAGAAAAAAGAGATTTTTCAAGTAGAAAGCGATGGAAAGTTTTGGAAAAAATAAGTTTTCAAATACAAAAATGTTGTTATCAATGAACGATCGAATCTCGGACTACCTTTCCATGCATTCACCTCCATTTTGATGCTGAAATAAAAGACCAACAAGACTTTCGCTCAAATATCTTCGACACAGAGATCAGTTCATTATGAATAGAATAAATTCTCCAATAGATTATTGAAATTTCCTCGATAGGAAATATTACTTACCATCAAAACCTGTCACTGAAAATAAACTTTTATATGAAAAATCAAAAGATTCTACTTGGTGTGGAATATACACCAAGTGCCAAATATATCTTACATTTTATATTAGTGTATAAATAGATAACACTTGCGATTATATCAAGTTTAAAACTTTGATAATAAACTGAATAAAAAGAAAAGCAAATAGGAAATTAATTATGATGTTGCTATAGGTTTTCTGTTCACCCACATGCTTACTATTCTCTTTCTTCTTCATTTTAAAAGCCAATCATATTCATGGAAGTTACGTTGACTTCAAACTCCTTAGCTACATGTCATTTTAATTTATTCACCTGATATTAAAAGAATGTGGTATATTCCTACAGTCCTTTGATACTTCGTGATTATTTTCTTTACTGAACCTAGTAACTATGAAGGACGTGAATAACCATATAAAACATATTTTCTTTGCCGACGACAAAAATAAAAATGTCTTTTTTTGTTTTTCTTCTATGTTGAAAATCGTTTTGAAGAAAAAAGGAAAAATATATACCATGCTTATGGCGTTTTCATTGAACAATTAGACAAGAACAGAATGAATTCCGCTCAGCCAAGTCACAAATATATGTATACAAATAATAAGTGTTTGAAAAAAACTTGATGTTAATCTAACGTCCAGAAAAATTTGGACAAATTATATATTATTGAAGATTAAATGTTACGTTTTCTCTACACATATACTATATGAAAGTGTTTTACAAGCTATACACATCAATAATGAATCACGATTCACAAAAAAAAAAACCATTCAAAAGAAAAGGCTTATTAAATCAACACGAAATATGTGTTGTTGAACAAAAAAAAAAAGAAAATTGTCTGTATGCTAAAGTCAAAAACATAATTGAAATAAAAAAAGACAAAGCAAATTTAAGATAAAAATTACACAAAACAACAAATAAATTCTTAAATGTCATGCAAATCAATATTTATTTTTTAGTTGGACTACCAGTACGTTTTTGTCGAGTTGTTTTCTTTCCCGTTCGTTTGACGTATGCTTTACCTTCCTATAAAAAACATAGATCAAATTACAAAAACTTCAATAAGAATAATAAAAAAAAAAATACATTTGCTGTTTTAGCCATTGTACCAAGTCGTTTTAGAGTTGGTTTACGCGGACTTTTTTGTTTCTTAGCTTTTTCAAGTGTTTTTCTAGCTAGTGCAGCTGCTTGACGACGTTTAGTTTCGGTACGTGTATCAGCAAGTACCTCTTTGCCAAGCAATTCTTTTGCTTCCTGTTGTTTTTTTTTGAAAATTAATTTAATGAAATAAAATATTTGTAAACAAATTATTTCAACATACTTTTGTTGTATTTTGCATAGTTCGTGTCTTGGATAATTTTGGTTTAGCTTGTGATGTTGATGAAGTTGTTTTTGCTTCATCACGTGCAGCATATAAAGCATTAACTCTTTTTAATCGATCATTACCCCATGTTCGTTGTAAATATTCTTGACCAGTCTAGATAATAATATTAAATATGACATATAATCTTAAAGGACATAAATGCTTTTCTTACAGCTGCAGTAGTCGTCATCGTTCCCGCTTTTTTTAATGATGGTTTTGTGGTTTTACTTTTCTTTGGAGACATCGGTTCTCTCTACTGTGTATGTGTTCGTGTAAATGTATGTGTGTGAAATGAAAGGAATGAATGGATATATATAGGTATGATGTGTTTACCTAGAACACATTGAAAATAATGAATATATTAATGTTTATATGGAAAATATTAATTAAGTAAAGTTTATTTTTGATAATATATATTAGTAGTTCTATGTAGAATAATTCTATTGAAAACAGGGGTTTATATATATTTCTGAATATGAGATTTCACCGAAATAAGCTTTTCATGTGCAATAACTCGTGTTATTTTTTCTTATGCACGAGTAAAATAATGTGTGGGTGTAAGCAGAGTCAATAGAGAACGAAAGAAAGAAAAAGAAAAACGTCAAATGGTAGCCATCATCAGAGTTCTTCTCTTTTTTTAGTCCTCTATACTGTTGATATGAAAGTCAAATATGCGATAATCAGAGAAATTTAATATTTCAAGAAATAAATTAAGAGGACCCCCCCCCCCTTCTCTTAAAAAACGAACTATTTTATTTTTCCATGGAATTCAACCAAAATTTCAGAGAATGTTAGTCTTGGCTAGAGTAGATTATAGTTAAAATATCTTCTAAAATCTGCGAGATATTCATGAGTTATAATGAATTTATTGGGCAAAAATATCTTTTACGCGGGCAAGGTTTTCACAATCAGAACACGATTTAAGTTGTAGAATACCCTTGGCGCTAGATCCTAATAGAGCCCGATTTTTGAAACTCCCTTTGTTTGTTCTATAAAAAAATCTTCTCCGAAAAATTCTCGAATTCATGTCCAAAAAGATCGCTGACACAAATGGAATATGTAGGTTTTTTATTTCACCAATAGAGAACTTCAAGAATCGGGCTCTATTAGGATCTAGCCCTAACTGTCCTCTATGCAATAAAAAAACAATTATCATTCATATATTGAGTTGTTATTGAGTAAGGATTGCCCTCGCAAACCGTATACTCGAAAAAACGAATTTTAAGAAAAATGGAAAATAAGTTTTTAAAAACCTTAGTTTTTCCAACATGAAGGTTTAGAAAAACTTATGTAATATTCTTAAAGCTGGTCATAAAATCAATCAACTATAGCGCATTCGAGAGTAGACACTTTGCTCTATCTAACGAGTTATAAATCACAAAATTGATGAATTTGACAAAAACTGACTTTGTCTGAGAGGGAGTGGGCTTAATATATTTAGAATAAATATTACATCTATCCAGATCATTTTATTAAGCACTGTATTCAGACCTTTGAAAAACTTCTGTTCTATGACTCTTACCAATATTCTGAACATAAATTCGGCAAGAACACAACAATATGATTCTGACTGAATGTCTAATATGTTGGAGAGAGAAGGAATATATTACCTCAACTTTTCGATGCATTCGTTATTAGTCAAATTTTCGTTCACAAAATCTTCCGGTATTCAATAAGAACAATATTTTCATTCGGCAACCGCTTCTACCTTCTGAACATCCACGAACACTATTCTAAAAGTGAGGAATAGAAATTTCTAAACTGATATTGTAGTTACGACACTTATGTACAAGAAATTCACACTTGTTGGCAATATTAATAAATTTGTATATGTTGGAAAACAAACTACTGTCAATAGAGTACACATTATATTGAACATGGAAACAGCCACTCTTGCGTAATTTGAACCATATGAGATATTTTCTGAACGCAAAATTTATTCTTTACTTTATTCTAAGAATGAATTCTTGTCCTTATGATAATGGTCAGTTGAAAAATGATGTTCTTATGAGTTGCTTGTTCAACTACACATAGCGAACGAAAATTATTTCAATTAACTTACAAATTTCGAGTTATAGGTTGAAAACGATACGAATCTCTTACGTTCACTATGTTCAGCTTTAGTAAAGTAGTCAACTAATAAGTGTTTTATTGATACTAGTTTATCGTTTGCAATATAAAATACATTGCATATTTTAATCTCTGAATTCATTTTATTAAAAAACAGAATATACCAAAAGATGCAGCGTAAAAATTTCTACAATCTAAAGAGTAAAGTTTATCTAATTGTGTACTTTTTTCGAAATAAGCATAATTCTGCGCGAATAATATCATTTATTGATATAGAATGAACTCGTCTCTTCTTAATCAATCAGCTAATGAATCATAGCTTTTCAATGTATCGCATCCGATATTATTAGTATAATAGCATTCCACACATGATGAGCTAGAACATTGAGACCAAGTCTAATTTGCAAGCATTTGTGATTGTCTATTAAATACACGAAATTTTCTTCATACCACGTTAATAATTTCTAATGTGAAAGTGACTTCATGTAATAATGATTTACAAGATTTAAATATAGTGAAAGACATAACCTGTGCGTAAAAAATCTTTCCACAACAGATCTAATCAATTTCTATATACTTATTAATAATTAGAAATAACTAAAAGTAATCAGCTAGAATCGGAATTTTATTCTCTCTTTTAAATATATCTATATGTTAAGAATTGTTTTGGCTTAAAATTAGCTCATTGAGAACATACTATTGACAGAGGTCTCATAAAACGACGCTTGTACAACATTTTTCGCATAGTTCAGTTTTGTATTTTGATAAAAACCACTTAAATCTTCATTATTAGAAAGTAATTTTATATATCAAGTTGTTGAGCGAGGTTTACTCTACAGAATACTAGATAGGTTTCTTTGTTAAGATATTTCTATAAATAATCGAAATCTATTACTTACTAAATACCAAAATTTGAAAGAAGTAAATTTTTTTTTGTAAAACGTTTTAGATTTTTATTATAACATAATGTAGTATCTATAGGCAGAAAAATCATTAAGATCGAAAAGGAACAGTTGAAATGGTTCGCTCGTTAATACAAACAATGTTTCTGATTTATTTAAATAGTTGCTCATAGCTAACTAATTGTAAGTCGGTAAAAAAATCCGAATACCCATTGGGATCGAATATAGAATTCTAGTTTTAACCGACTGCATTTGAGCTTCTTCAATGGCATCAAGATCTTCAAAAAAACATAAGCTGATATATATATTTACCAATAACTTTTAAAGTTAGTGCTTTATATCAAAGTGAGTATTGGCATGACAGATTTCTTTTCAATGAACTAACTCTAAGTCTATAAAGTTGATTATTTGTATTTTTCTTCATAGACTAATACGTAGACAAAAAAAAGATCAGACATATTATGCAAAGACTTTGTACTCATAGGTTAAGGCCATTTTTCAATGCACTAAACCATACCATAATTCTTTTTGAATACTAATCCTTAAATTTTTGCTTATTTTGAAAACAAAAAGTACAACAATGAAAGAAAAAATAACCTTTACTTTTTAAATTATAGAACTTTTTATGCTGTATTTTGTAGCACATGCCTTTTTGAAAATAAAATATGAAATGTAAAATGCGATCATTTATTATGAGTTACTATTTAATGTAATCGGCAGTAAAGTTAAATAAAACTTTGAAATCATTGACTTCATCCAGATGACATCTATAGATATAACGAATCTTCCCAAGTCAGCATGTGCGCTATTGGTACGGGGTACGGTACGCTTGTGCGCATTGGTGCACCTAGTGTCACGAGTGACGTAACGCGTACTGTGATGTACCGGTGCGTTCATCACTAGTTCGTGTGACGTACGTGATGTCGCGTCCAGTGGAGAGGCCGTCTATCCACATATATGGTACCAACAACAAAGGCATATCTATATAACGGACATCCTTTTTGGAAAAAGAATAAAAACTGAAACAATTAGTTTTTCTCATACAAATATATTTTATATATATACTTAAAAATATTTCATTTATATTTTTCTATAATTTTTTTTAATATAAATTAAATATTTAATTTATTTTTTGATTCTTTTTTTTTAGAATGTATATTAAAGTATTTAATTAATTTTTTTATAACTGTTTTTACAATCTATATTAAAATATTTAATTTTTTTTAATAATATTTTAGGGCATATACTGAAATATTTAATTTATTTTTTCAAAAATTTTTTAGGATATGTACTTAAAATTATAATTTATTTTTTTATATTTTTTTTAGGATATACATATATATAAGTATTGAATTTTTTTTTATAATTTTTAGAATATATATTACAATATTTAACTTTTTTTATAATTTTTTTAGAATATATATAAAAAAAATACACTAAATATTTTTTTTTTTGTAATATTTTTACAATTTTTTTTTATTAATCTAATTGTTCCAGATTTCTTCTTCATCCTGTATTTTAGACGAAATCAAGATGAAGTTGATCAAGGAACTACTTCTCTCATTGCTGAAATAAACAATGAATTAAACAGTCAAGATCAGTTCAATGATGAACAGGATGATGACGATGATTATTATTGATATTTAATTTATGTGTTAAAAGTTATAAGATTTATGCTACTTATTTATATTATAAGTTATGTACATGAAATTATGTTGCAGCTTTGTCAAAACTTAAAGTTCATTTTTTTGCATCATGAAATAGGAACTGTCACACTTATCCATCTGTACGTTATTCAGAAAATTTTAATTTTATATTGGTTTTCTTTATAAAAGTTGCAAATCTCATGATACATTTATGTGATGTGACATCTTGTCATTTTTTTTTGTAAAACAAATATTGAATTTTTTTTTCTTCCAGTCATTGTTGTTGTCTACTCAAGTGTTTTTAGTTTGACAATCATTTGAACGAAATAAAACATTTTTTTAATTGTGAAAATTAAAATAAGTCTCTCATAAATGAACCAATGGTAAAAGAAAAGGAAAAGCGAACGTCGCTAATGGTACGCGCACACGTACGTACGCGTGACAATCCGTGCGCGTACCGAGCGTCTCGCACGTCACGCGCACGTGTGACGCGCACGGTACGCGCACTAATGGCGCACGGGCTGACTTGGGTATCAGTGAGATCGCATGTGCTGCTATCTTTCATTATTAAATTTTTTATTTTTATTCGTTCTTTACACAATCGAATAATTTTAATGTCAAAATATATTTTTTTTCCGTTCGAAAGATCAATCAAATAATTATATATTTAGTTAATTAAAATTAATAATCAATAAGAAGAAAATGTCTCAAAAAGATTTTTCTTCTTGTTCTTCTAAAATTTCATCGGAAATTAATCATAATGAACGACGTTATTGTATATGTCAAAAAAATGAAGATGAATTATATGAACAAGATAATGAAGATGATTTTATGATTGAATGTGATGGTTGTAATGGTTGGTTTCATGGACGATGTGTATCATTAGCTAATCGAATTGCTGGTACGAAAGAAAAAAAATTAAGAAATATTTTCATTATTAATTTTAGTTTTTAAAATTATTTTATTTGATTAATAGATGATATTGAAAAATATTTTTGTATGGAATGTTCAAAACAATATGGACCTTCAATATGTAAGTATAATCAAAAAATAAAAAAAATAAATAATTTCCATTTTTTTTTTCTTCTCTTTTTTAGTTAAACAACAACAAAATCAACATAGACGAGATTATACTGATGTTAATGCTGAACATAAAGTAAATTTAATAAAAATATTTAAATTATGCATTATTTTTTTTTAGCCAATACAAAGTGGTACAAAAGTTTTTATAAATAAATTAAAACAGAAAACATTTTTAGAGTAAAATTCTTAGTATCGATTGATATAAAAAAAAATAATAATCTTTTTATTTTTTTTTTGTTGATTTATATATAGTTGTGAACCAGTAATTTTACGAATAAAAGGTGATCAATTAACACGTGAATATTTATATAAAAATGGTTTTACAAAACCAATATTAATATCAAATCGTGATGGTCTTGAATTAACATTACCAAATCGAATGATAACATTAGAAGAAATTAATAAACTTATTGGTATGCACAATCAAAAAAAAAATAAAATAAAATAATTAAAATTTTAATAATTGATTATTATAGGTGATGATCAATATATTGATATAATTGATTGTGAAAAACAAGTGATTTATAAAATGAGTTTTAATGATTATGTTGAATATTTTGAAAGTTATGATCGAAATAAAATTTATAATGTTTTAAGTCTTGAAGTTTCGAATACAAAGTATGTTTTATGAATAAGAAACCATACGAAAGAGGATGATTTTGCATTCATAGGAAAAGAAAGAATAAATTTTTATTTCTTTTATTTTTCGAAAAATGTATATCGACAGATAAAATGTTATTAAATAAAGAGTTAAGAATTATTGAAATTATTTTAGATGAACGATCAAGATTAGAAGTACAGAATCTTTGCAGTTGTACTTACGTGAGTCCAGGGTTGTTCAAAAGTTCTTTTATTCTCAGAATGCAGGAGATCTGATGGCTGACCAGGGATGCTCTTCTTCCAAATCGAGAACCTGGTAGAGAATAGCTCGTAAGTAACTATATGATGCAAAGTTGAATTATTTGAACTTCAATTTCATTAAATGAACTACTTTTATTGCTAGTTAGAGATGCCTATTTAAAGTCTCTTGTTCCATTTATGAGTTATACGTGTAAATAAATACTTCTTTCAAATGTCACGATTCTGTTCACAACAGATATGTAATCTGTTTTCAAGAGAGATAAATATATGTAGAGTTATCCATAAATAATTTTCAGTTCTTATCTAGTAAAAGGGCTCCCTCAACTAATAAATTGCTTTTGAGTCGAGACTATGTGCATTACGTATGAATACAGTTCTTAACGGGAATAGTTTCTTATAAATGTTTCAGTCGAAATTCGAAAATGAGTACTTCTGATGTTCATGTAGGTAACTGCAGCAATCCTTTAAAAACTATCATAAATTTGCGATATCTATAAAATGTTAATTTAAAGATTCGAACTCTTTTCAAAAATAGTAATAGCTCTAAAAGTTTTCTCTATGTGATATTATTCATAAAATTGATCTCAATTGTTTCTTGTTAATTTTTTAGATGCGAATTGAAATTATTTATAAATCATTTCATATGTATTTGTTTTACTTGATAACAGATTTTATTTCTTTAGTAAGCATAGTAATGATATTTCAAAGCAATATTTATTTACGTATGTTAATCATATAATGAATAAGAAACTTAAAATAGACTTTTATTATTTATAATAAAATCAGTCCATTTGATGAAACTAAACTAGAGATACTCGAAATTTATATCATATTATTGCTTACGACCTACTCTGTACAAGTTAAAATGATAAATCCACTTTTTGTATTTTCACAGTGAAGTGAGACGATTATGTGTTATTTGAAGAAATATATAGTTCATTCTCTTGATTTTTTACTAGTTACATTTCTATTTTTATTATTCATTTCATGAGGTTAGATAGAGAAATTTTATATAAAAAATCTAACAATGTGATGTATCTATTTGTTTTGTTTTATTAAGATTGGGTGAATTCATTATTGTACCTAAGATAGTTCGAGATTTATCTTGGACTACTACTGGCATTTGGCCAAATAAGAAAAAAGATGAAAAACTTGAAGACAATGTCGATAAAAATGAAACAAATCAATTAAAAAATAAAAGAGCATGGCCATTAGAATCACCTGTATTAAAAAGAAAAAGTCGAACAGTTTCATCGACGACTGATACGGATCAAAGTGATGAAGATGAAGATTTAAATTCAAATCATTTTGAAAACTTTACACGTCCAGAAGTAGCAAAATATTGTTTAATTAGTCCACAATCATCCTATACAGATTTTCATATTGATTTTGGTGGTTCAAGTGTTTGGTATTCAATTGTGAGAGTAAGACTTATTTTAATTCTAACACAAACACAAAAAATATTTATTTCTTTTCTTTTTTGTTTCATTAAAGGGTGAAAAAATCTTTTATTTAATTGAACCAACTGATGAAAATTTACAAAAATATGCTGATTGGTCTAAATCACCAAATGAATCTGAAACATTTTTAGGTGATTGTGTTTCGCATTGTTACAAAATGCATTTACGTGAAGGAAATACTATTTTGCTACCATCAGGGTTTGTTTATTTTTTTCTCTATCTTAGATTATTTACTATAAATATAATTTATTTTGTAGATGGATTCATGCTGTTTACACAGTGACAGATTCGCTTGTATTTGGTGGTAATTTTCTTCAATCTATGGGTGTTGATATGCAACTTCGGTAAGTAGATATAAAATGATAACGAGTAAACAGTAAACTCAACATTGACTATAGGTAAACCTATATATGAAATATAAGTTTAGAATTAGAAAGGCTGGCTTGTGATAGTCAATATTGACGAGAAGGTCACGATTTCTTTTCTAAGATAACATGCCTTGATCGAACTATCCCTGAAAATAGGAAAAACTAGATTTACGAAACTAGTTTGGCATTGTCGATACCGATAGTTATAGAAAGATGAAAGAGTAGCATTGAAGTGAGATTTAAAATGTCTTGTTCATTTTTATTATAGTATTTATGAATTGGAACGTCTTGCTAAAGTTCCACAAAAATTTAAATATCCATTATTTGAAACATATCATTGGTATGCTGCTAAATTTTTCTACGAAAAACTAAGAGGTAATCATTAAATATATTATCTAATCATATTCTATTTTTGTTCTAAATAGAATGTAATGATTTAAATTCATCTATAATTAATCCTGTAATACAACAAGCATCTGAATCAATTATTTATCATATGAATCGATGGTTAACAATTGATAAACGAGTAAGAATTTAATTTCTTACATTTATAATTATTCATATAAATTCATATTTTAGTATCAAATACGAAATCGATATATAATACCGAAAGGTATGAATTGTGAAAAACTTTTACGTGATCTTTCACGTGAACTTGATAAAGCTAAAGTACGATTCTTGTTTTGAATATTAAAACTAATAAGAAATATTTTCTATGATATTAGACACGTTGTGGTTCATCATGTTATTCTAAATTACCATCAAAAACTATGATAATAGGTACAAATAAAATTGAACTTCTACATGACAATAAAAGAGAATTAGTTCAAATCGGTGAAAATAAGGTTATTTATATTTGTTTTTATTATTCTATTGAAATAATTCATTACAATTGTTTTTTTTAGAAGATTAAAGTTAAATGTCGTCGTTTATCAACTGATTCAGAAAGTAGTAAGAATAAAGAAGCAATAATTAGTCATGAAGTTCAATTAACTATAAAATCAACAGAAGATGAAGATCGAAAAGGAAACAATAATAGAAATTTATTACGAACAATACGAAAGAAAAAAATTGGACGACCATTATTATCAGTTAAACAAAAGAAAAAGTAAAAAATATATTTTTGTATTATCAAATAATATATATAAAAGTTTAGTGATAATTATTCACAACATGGAGATCCATCTAGAATATCATATAAACTTGGTAAATATTTTAAAGAGAAATTGTATTTATTGTTTTATATAATATTGTTTATCTAGGTCTCAAAACTAAAAGACAACATTTTATTCATAATTCTCATGTTAAGTAAGTCAAAGATTTTATCTTTTATTTCAGAAGTCAATAGTTTTAAGATGTAAAATTCAATTTTTTTTTCGATTTTTCAAAAGCTGTTTTGTTGAGAATTATTTCGTGTTAATAGGAAATAAAAATTGAAGCAGGGGCTTAGAAATAAACATAAACGAAGATTTTTTTATGGCCAGGCTTTTCATCATACATGTAAGTACTATTGTCGAATTTTTATTAAAATGACAAGCATCACTTTTTCAATAACTTTTGATCGTTTATAGCTATTGAAGTTGCATTTTCACTATTAGATAGAGCAATATTGGAGACTCTTATCTATGCAGAGTTGTATTCTCTATAAAATGCCCAGATTTCAGGACATTTCTCTTGAAGCACAAATCCAGGGTAAAGATCAACCAAAAGTCGAATAATGATATAATAAAACTTATTCAAAAAAAGGTGATTGGGATTTTAATAAAAATCCGACAATAGTCAGGATTTGTTATTAGAAAAATCTTTTATCATTTTTTCGGGAATACGTTTGCTATCAAGTCATTCAAAGAATACAGTATTTCAATATTTATTTTTTGATAAATATTATTTTACGGTTGCATTTATTTATGTTGTCCGTGCAACAAAAATTCTGGCACCGGTTTTGTATCTGAATTTTTTCGTATAGACCAATTTTGGATGACATTGAATCAGCAAATGATACAAATATTTCTTCAGTATCCAGCAAGTCACTCACAGATCATATTGAAAGTCGTGATCATAATAAAGGACTATTCGACATAACTGATGATGATCCTGCATCATTCGTTAAAAAATCTATTATTGATAAGGATTGTCATAAAGATAATGAAATAAAACAAGATAAACGATTTTTGAAACAGAAAGTTTCATCATTAAGTAAATATTACATTTTTCTTTTTATATTTATTATTACAATGATTAATTTTTCTTTTTAATAGAAAAATCCAACTTTAAATCATTTAATACAGATCAAGTAAAAATAAGAAACAAAATCATCGAAATAAAAAAATCTACAGAAGGTAAAATATAATCTTATGATTTTTTTGGTCTATTATTATTATTATTATTCATAATTTAGAACCAAACACATCTGAAATACTCCCGCCAACCATATCAAAATCTTCATTATCAATAAAAAAACGTTTATTATCATCTTCATCATTACCGAAGAACGTCCATTCAACAGATCGTCTAGGAAAAATTCTTAAAATTACCAATAACATCAAATCAAAAGGTGGAATTTTGACATGAGTTTTTGTGTTGTTTTTTTTTATATGGTGTGCTTTTTTTTATAATTATCTCAGGCGTAAAAGAGTGCGCTAGTTTTCCAATTTCTATCTTGCTCAAAGTTTCTATGTGATAATTGTTGTCTTAGATGTGTTAATTGTTTTTTTTCTTGTGTGTGTGCTTTCTATTGAATCATTTCCGCAACATGAAATATCTTTTTGTTAGATTAATATTTTTTTTGTACATATAGGTAATATCTTCTTTTTCAATTTATGATTATAGTTTCTTTTTGATATTGTCGATTGTAACAATATATTTAGTAAAAAAAAAAAAGGGACATATTATAACAAAAAAACATTTATTAGATACTTAGGTATCATTGAATGCGTTACAATCAGATTTCTGACACTCTTTCGGCTATTTAAAGACCAACGTCTACAAAGCGAAATCGAAACGAGATTTATTATGTGAAAAAAAATCATGAATGAAACATTAAAGAGTATCTATCATTTTTTAGGTTTAGATGTGTGTAGTGAAGGAAATGTACCCGACTTCAACACATATTAAAAGCTGTTTGCACTATGCTTCCGACATTAAAATGTAAAAAACGATGTGATTGCTAACACATGATTCTAAGATTTTTTAAAAATAAAATATAAATTATCTTTACAATAATAGTCGTAGCTATTTTTCGGGGGGTGTGAGGTGTGGGCGTATTGGTATACTTGGCGTGTGGATATGGTTGTGGGTGTGACGCTAAATGACAAGAAGAGTGGTATCTACACCCACATTCCACATCGATACATCAAAAATTACTTATCTATTTCTTAATGAAATATAACATGTGGACGTACCACATTTAAACAATTGGTAATCAAATTCTTCCGACTCTCGTCCTCACTCTCCACTTACTTTGTCCTTTCAGACCATGAGAGACATATTTATATATCTGTCACGATCTGCAGTAATAAAAGGAATTTTCCATGTGTTGCTCTTTGATCCTTCAACACACTAGGGCAGATCCATTGAGATTTCTTCATTATGGAAGAAATGCTTTCGTCGTGCTCCATATTGTAATCCTATACAGATTATACTAAAACCTTTCTTTTGTATTTACTTGGATTACAATATTAGCGAAGGCAAATTACGGCCGTTAAATACGTTAGTAACATTATTAAACGCGCCAACCAATGGTTAAATTATCTATGATCTATATTTTAATGAGAAAAATAACACACCAAGAAAATTCTTATGTTTTAAAGCACGTACTTCTATATATAGGGAACTTTATAATGAAGATTTATATTAGTAAAAAGAAAATCATTCGAGACCAGAATTATGTTCTGCTAGAATACTTGCTGTCATATGTAAAATATTACTATTTTGTATGCTAACTATATTTCATGCACAAGTATTATCAGAGAACAAATTTAATATGTATAATACCAATCATTATCAACAAGATAGCTATTGTATTTTATACTATGTATTGGACAATTTGGATCACTTTGCCGATTTTCATTCGATCCACTAACTAACAACTCGTTGGATGAAATCTTTGTTTTCAATTTCGAATTCAAACCAGAGATCAAGCAAGGTAGGAAAGTGACATGGTACGAACACCTGAATTGTAAGACGTCGTGGATATGTTTGGATTGGCGTTAGATACGTAATAGAAAAGTCGATTGTTTGGACGGATCAGATGAATCTAAATGCTGGCAACTTGAGACGAATGAATGTGCTGGAAATGAATATCGATGTTACAATGGACAATGTATTCCGAAGGAATTTTTTTCGTGATGTTCCAAATAATTCAGACTGTTTGGATCGAACAGATGAGATTAAAACGAACTATTTTACTAATTGTGATAGTGATCCCACCTTTTGATGTGAGGAACCTGTGACTTTCCATGTGGTGATGGATAGTGTGCCAATGACATAAGTTCGGTTTATACAGATGGTCGTAAGAATTCTTTACTCAAGGGCAATTGTTCGATTGCTATGGCCTATCTTATGTTTCTTGAGACACTTATTAACTAGGGTGTGGTACTTAATCTTCTCTTGTCCACGCCCGCGTCAACAACTCACTCACATCTATACTACACACCCCACACCCCACAACCACATCCACACTCACCCCCACTCATATCTAGTTGTCTTACTTTCTTTATTTACAAAATTATGTTTAGTGATTGGAGAAGGTATAACTCATGATATTGATGATAGACTTTACTTGATAATATTTAGTTATTATTATTTTAGTTAATTTATTTGTAACACCAGATTCTGATGATGGTTGTTAAGAACCTAAAATTTAATCATGTGTGAAATTTAATGAATATTCTAATAAAGGTATTTCTTTTTTAAAAACTTAAAAAATGTTAAAAAATCGATTAAGATTTCATTTATTTATCTTCATTGGCATTTTGTTGTACTTATCTTATATTTCTAATTAGAAGAAAAGCATTATTATACGGAAGAGAAGAAGAGAAACAAGTATTAATGTAGACTGATATTTCATTCAATCTGAATGTTGAATGAAGAGTTGAGAAACTCGAGATTCTCAATGATGACAGCTAACTAATAACGAATGACGTGTGTTGTAACTGATATTATTTAGATCCAATGACTCTGTCATGTTTCATATTTTAATTCTGTAGGGAGATTGTGCTGAAAGTTTTTTTCATGGAGAAGAAACATACTCGAATGTCGAAAAGCTTCTTAACTTTCTCAATGTAACGTTAGTGCTTATTCATATATCAAGAAAGAGAATATTCTCTTTATCTAATCAGCGTGTGCAGCATATCCATTGAAGATTTTATCAATGGAAAATCCATTACAGTAGCTTATCATGATTTATTCTCGACGATAGAGATTGGCTTAGGATGCGTTAAATATTACCGATGGGTGTATCCAAAGATACGGCTGGCATGGTAATATAGTTCCTTGCAGCATTTCGTTGATAAGTGAAGAAAGAAGCACAGATCTTATTCTTATTTGCTAGTAGAATGCTGACGGATTCGCAAAGAGCATTACTGTATCTTGTTGCTAATCAATTGAACATCTACGTAGGATTTATTCTTTTTTTTCTTGGCATCACCGGTGGAATTTGTAATTTGCTCGTGTTTACTAAATGGCAAATGATCAAACAGAATCCGTGTGTTATTTACCTTGTCATGGGTTCAGTAGCTTCCATTCTCGAATTGTTGAATATTATTTTCATTCAAATTATGTCTTTGGCTTTTCACATCGATCTATCAATATTATCGCGCTTCTAGTGAGTAATATATTCAATTCATGTTAAGAGAAATAGGAATTTTTTTTGTTTCTCGTCTGGTTAAAATATTTCGACGTTTCATTTTCTCGGACAATCGAAGAGAATGGAAACATTTTCGAACTAGCTTTATGCAGATATGAGCGAATTCTGTTGGAAACTCTTGAGATTGTGGAAGCATCATGAATGCCACTTATGCTTTCGTTTTTGTAAGTCAAATAAAGCTAAGAATTATCACACAGGCTTTTCAATGAATCCTACCACAAGGAGAAGGGGTAGTAAGCAAAAAATCATAGTTGAAAAATGCACATACTGAACATATTTATCAGGGTACAATTCATCATTGTAGCATAAAAAGAAAGCATAAATATCCGTTAAAACTATCCAAAAATTGATTTCTTTTAATGTTTCTTGCCTTTATTTCGAGATACTCTCAAATCAAATAAGCAAGCTATTCTTCGTTTTCCTTTTAGTTGTAAGATGCGTGTAACTTTCGTGCAATATCCAAGTATGATCGCACTTGCTTCTTACATATTAGCTAGCTTCAATCGATGGGCTGCCACAAATCGAAATGCAAGCATACGACAGCGATCTAATTCTCTTCGTCTATCCATCATATTGTGTTCATTCATCAATCTCTTTTGGTTACTTCATTCAATTCCAATCATTATCTTAACTGACCTTATTCAGACTTCAACAGGTTCATCTGTTTGCATGATCATATCTCCTGGACTTATACGCTATCGGGATGTGTTCTTTCAGCCATTTTTCTATTGTGTTTTCCCTCTTTCGCTTCTCACCTACTTTGGCTTATCGACAGTTTACCATTTACGTGCCTTACATCGGTCTATTGCACCTACGGCTGTTATTCCTAGAAGACAACCACGACGCCGTTTCGATATTCAACTCACGCGAGTGGTCCTCCTTCAAATATTCGTATGCATTCTCTCCACGTTGATGTTTGCCGGCCAAGCAATCTATACAGCTATTACACAAGCATGGATGAATAAGACACCCGATATTCTAGCCATCGAATACATATACCGCAACGTGGCCCTACTTCTTTTCTACTTAAATTACGTGTTTCCCTTCTATTGTACTTTTGCAACGAGTTCCATTTTTCGACGGCATCTTCACAGACTTTTGTTATCTTTGATCAGACGTGGATGTATTTTGTTTTTCCCCATACCAACCAGGAGAGTTTGAGTGACAATGATCAGTTGATAATTGTGCTCTACTCTTTTTCTGTAGTCTCATGTATCATGCACTTTTCTGTAAAAGAAATCGGTATTTCTCGAAGTCTTGAGGTTCAACATTGAATTATTCTGAACGTAATAGGCACTTCAGATGAATTGAAACTTTTATTTTGTATATTTAAAAAAATACTACGTAGATGAAGGTAAGGGTGATGATGTGAAGAAACACCGAAAATCTGCTATGAGTAATTTTATTCTTTCTTATCAAACTTGTCAGACAGCTTTGACACTGTATTTTTTTTCTCATAAAGGGTTTTAAGATACTTCGCATCTAAGTCTCAACACTAGAATTGAAGCCTAGCAGAGACTACTGTCCTATAATAGGTGAGTATTATATAAGAAGTAGTACTACAACCAACTAGTTGTCCTTTCTTAAAGGACTAATCATCAAGTGTAGTCATTATATATGTCTTAGTTCATGTCGAAATCTCATGTAAAATTTTCATAGGTCAACGAGCATAAATTCGCAGAAAACCATTTTTTTAAATTTCATA